AGATGTGTATAAGAGAGTGGTATTTAGTAGGACCCCTGGTCAGGCCTACTCCTAGGCTAGGCCTAGATAGTTCTACTACTCTAGCAGTCCTAGGCTAGATGCCCTAGGCTACTACAAACAATGGGCTAGGCGTAGCCTATGCCTACTGTCTGTTGTACTTGTAGGGCGCAAGGGTAGTCCTAATTTCATAATATAATAATATTATTAGGCCATTGCTAGGCCAGAGGCCTATATCTTAATTATATTCCATTAATTTATATTTTTTCAAATGTAAATTCTTTAAAGTTAAAATGTTTTAAATTAATTTTTAAAATTGATGATATATTTTCTACATATTTATTTTTAGGTAATTGGTTTTTGTGTTTAATTTTGTTTTATTATAATAAAGGCCTATTATAATTTACATTATTTATAATATTTTATCCTTTTTTTATACAAGTTTTTAGCAACCCACCGCTCGCTAAAAATGATGATTTTGAATAAAAATGAAATTTTATTTTTGTCTAATTAGCACACTTGCCATCAAAAGTAGAAATTTCAGAGGAATTAAAAAAAATAAAAGTTTTTCTATATTTTTATTACTGTATGCCCACCGCTGCCTTAAAATAAGAATTACATATTCCTATTCCTAATTATATAAATTTAAAGCACTTTAACCATCCCATTTACAGTGTTCCACCAAACAAATTTTATTTTATTTTCTTCTCCGTCTAGATGTTTTTAGCAATTTAGTATTTGCTAAATAAGAAAAACAAAAATTTTTTTTTTCGCCCTTGATTTTTTAAGATATTTAAAGAGAACATTAACTTTCATTGTTGAATTAGATTTTTGAATGTCATTTTGAGTTCTTGGCAGTCAGCCATCAAAAATCATTTCAAGAATATCATGAAAACTGAACGAGTTGCTGCTGGAAATGGAACTGGAGGTGCAGCAGTGGTAAAACCAGAGATAAAAAAGAAAAGAAAATGTGAGGTAGTAGAAACAGAGGATGACAAAGGTCAAAGTTGATTTCTAAAATTATGCGTTAATCAGCAACCTATGGTTTCCAGCGGAGAAATATCTTTGAAAATCCTTTTTTCATTAATTAAACATCATGGAGGGATATCCCGCACTCCAGTTGGTGTCAGAGGTATGTACACTAATCCAAGGTAGGGTTTTGTGTTTAATTTAGTTTTATCATAATAAAGGCCTATTATAAGGCCCCGTAAAAAAAATTTAGTTTATCACCCTATCCCAGCATAAAAACTGATGATGGAGGGAGGTTTTTTTTATTTTTCTGCCAACCGTCCCATCAGCGTTCGCTGGTGCAGGACAAACACATAAAAAGTCACAAGAACGGACTCAAATTTAAAAAGAAAACATGTTTTTATTGTCAAGTAACACATTTTGCTAAAATACAGTACAGTTTCTAAATATGAAACGTGAGAATTCATAAATACATCTGGCAAGGTAAAGTATATAGAAAATGAAGAAATTATTGACCCTCTTTTTACATCTGCTGTCATTGCAAATGCATAGCTTTGGTAAGTTTATTATTGCAATATGTATTTTGAAAGAATGAATTATGGAAAATACATATATCGAACTTGAATGGATGTGTCTACCTTCTTCGTGGGACCAAATTTTGCAACAACCTGTGAAAAAAATTACAAAGTGTGACAAAAAAAAAACATTTTCATGCCGAAAATCTTCCCTTACTGAATTCGGTCCTGCTACCCGACCTACTCGGGTTATCGATCATCCAACCCCCTCTCACAAGTGACAGGTCGGGTGACAGATTCGCTACTTACCTAAAATTTATTACCTGCTGCCGGCGGCCTGCGAAGGTCGCGTACTAGTGTATTGTAGTTAGGCCTAGGCTAGGAAGGTTAGTGATCTAGAGTGAGCAATAGATATTTCGTTTACAATGGTCAGGCACGGCAAACGTAATGAATAAGCCTACAATCTAGGGTACAACAATTAATACTCTCTTAACAAATTCCTACATTTTCAATAAAAAGAAGTTATAATCGGGAGCGCATGTTTTTTAGGTGTGGTGTGATGTCAAAAAGTGCATTGGCAGTCCGTAACGAACAGAAGCATCTACTGAATTTCCCGCAAATATTTGTTTACTGGGAATTGTTCTTCTTGTCTATACCACAGTATAATTAAAAAGAAAATACAAATTGTGTTCACACCTAAAAAACGGGAAAATTACGGTGCATAACAAACAAAAATAATAAGATTGAACTGAAGCGCCTACCCCACTGGCATCCCAAGACCGAACCATTGTGTGCCCGGTGAAGCTTATTATAATAGTATTTAAAAATGTGTATTTTAGCGGTTAGTGCACGTGTTTGAATATTAATATAATATTCAAACATGTTTATTATAACGCTTAATACACATGTTTAAATGTGGTAATGTTAGGCATGTGTATTTATAGTTATAATACAAAATGAATACCCTTGATTGAAATACATCAGCTGTAAGCTGTAGAATAGCCCCTGGATAGCCGGGAATGTGAGTAAACTAACCATTGCTGTTGTACGCCACACGATCATAAAATAAATAGAATAAAGGCTAGAAATATATATATATGAATTCGATCCAACTCGGCCACAAGTCAACTCGGCCACAGTCAACTCGGCCACTAGTCAACTCGGCCACAAATCAACTCGGCCACAAAAAGTTCGGCTGCAGTCAACTCGGCCACAAGTCAACTCGGCCACAAGTCAACTCGGCCACAAGTTAACTCGGCCACAAGTCAACTCGGCCACAAT